TTAATCATAAAGGTCTCGTTTTCAAGTATAATGTGTCAAGATTTACAGATGTTATAAGAAATATATCCAGGCGTAAATTATTCTAACCTCAAACATCTGTTTATCTAACATGTGATATAACAAAGAAAGTTTCGGGGTCTTCAGGCAGAGGTCGCTTCAATGTTATGTCATTCAGAACATCCGTTATTTACAAATAATCATCATACTAATATTTATAAATCATACTAATAGATGGATGGATGTTTGTTAGAGTTAGTATCCTAAACGACCGAACGGATTTCTATAAAATTTGGCATAAATGTAGAGGATAGCCTGGAAGAACACATACAAAGCTAGTCATATAATAACATATGTACAAAAAACATCCACTTATAAATAACTACCGACAAATATTGACAACAGAACTAAATATCAAATTAAACTAATCTATCGATATTTTCGTCTTGCGAGTTGCAAAAAACACTTACAGCCTAATAAATTAAACGCAGTAGCAAATATTAGTACAAATTTTGATTATACAGTAGAACATCGATTACTTAAAACTCGGTAACTTAGACACCTCTATAACTTTTTTTTTTTCTATGACATAAGATGGCAAACGAGCAAGCGGCCACCTGGATCCGCCAAAATGGCGAAGCGACCGCTGCCCATAGACATCTGCAATTGCAGATGCGTCGCCTACCCTTATCCGACGGAGGAGAAGACGCACATAAAGAGGATATTTCGCCTTCCTATGCATCTCCTCCATCGTCAAATCCACTTCCCCTTCCCATCCTCTCATAAGAAAAGGGTGGTAAAGAGAAAGGGACTTAAATTAGGCCTCCGGCACCACACTCATCAGACGAAACACGACATTGGTTCCATTTGACGCCTGTCTTCTGTGTGGTCGTGGTATTACCGTGCCGACCCTGCAGTGCTAAGATGTTTAAGCGGGCACTACTACTATAACTTCAAAAATTAATATGTTCCCTACCCATCAGAGCCCAAAACCTGTACAACATAGACCCTTGATAACTTAAAACATTTTGTGTTTCTCTTGGACTATATCTTATCGAAGTTCTGTACTTATTACTAAGTTTAACTTTTGTTTAGAAACGTCATACTTTCTAGACAATTTTCGTGCTAGACCTTCTGCAAATGTGAGAAAATTGTACGAATGTTTTTATAAAATCGCGCCTTAAATTTTATTCAGAATATGTAAAACATGACAAATATAGGCATAGTAAAATTTACGCAGCTCACCTTGAAGATAAATTTGGCAACAATTGGTTAAAAATAAAATACAATATATGCTGTCAATAAGGTCATTAACCTATATAATTTTCTTCAAATTAAAATAACACAACATCCCTTCCCATTCTTTCCTTATAAGAAAAGGGTGGAAAGGGAAGAGGACTTAATTAGGCCTCCGGCAACACACTCATCAAACGAAATGCTGAATTCCCACTTCACGTCTGACTTCTGTTTGGTCGTGGTTTTGGAAGCTGAGCTGCTGCAGTTCGAAGATGTTAAAGGCTTTACCGCTGTTAAATATACTAAGAGCGGACGCACACATTTCTACTAAACTGTCGCACAACTGTTGTGCGATTGTCGATTGTTCCGAAGCCAATTCAAATGTTGCACAACTAAAAATCGAGTAGTGTGCCTCCAACCAAGCTCTTAGGAATTAAAACGCGACTTATTGTAATTGTATTAAGCATAACATAAAATGGAAAAGAAAGAAAAAAAGGTATAAACCGTGCAAAAAAGAGTACGGACCAAGAGTCTGTAGATGTTGATAATAAAAAATAGCGCGACTAAACTTGCGTTCGATAGTTTCGTCAAAATTGTGAGCTTATAAATACTAGTATTATCTACTCCGGATATTTAAATAAATCAAATATTGCTGATAAGTTTGGGTGTGAATATTATCGTACGAGTTCAAGGTTGGAAGTTACGCGTTTAAGATAAATGAACAAACACATCTCAGTAACACTGTTGATTAGCTCTTTAAAATTTGCTTGAATGACACTCAAAAATGATTAGAAACGCCTCGTTAGTTTAAGCCCTATTTCCACCTAAAACGGGCGTGCGCGAATCGTATGCCTAATGTCCAATGGCGCAAGAATCTTCAATTAAAACTATATGTAGATAAAATTTTAACTACATTATGCGTAGACGAGAGACATAAACCAGAAAGTGTTAAGAATGAATGTGGATGGCTACAAAGGAAGAAGACCGAAGAAAGTATGGATGGATTGTGAAAGAGGATGTTTAAGGAGTGGTATCAGATATGACGGCTGATAGAGATGTATGGAAGAGCAGCACATACTGTGCCGACCCTCAATAAGGGATAAGGGCATTTAATAATGATGTAGGTAAAATTTTAAGTGGATATTTCAACTGACAGTTAACATTCCTAGACCGATTGTTCATTTCAACTTAGTGAATTCGGTCTTAATATTCCAAAGCAGTAATCTTATTATATCAGTTTACGATATAATAGCTAAGAATGTGATTAAAAAACAAAGTGAATAACTTTTAAAGTCTAGATTCTAGTGTCTATGGAAATCATAGGTTAGATTATACTAAACTGTTTGTTCAATACGAGATAAAGTTTCCATAGACAATCATTATAAATCAGAACCATTACGAACGTAGTATTTTATTTTATCACATTAATGATTCGAGAAATCACAACTGTACAATTTACATCTAATAAACTAATAATACCGCATTATATAATTACTGCGTCCACTTCCATTTAATTATTACTTTTTATTTAATAAAAACATACTGTTATTAATAAAATGTCATGACTTCTGACCTTCTGGTTTTCAGTAATTATTACTCTTGCACCGAAAACCGGGCATTTCGTACGTCAGCATAATTTAATGTTAGCTGTCAATAAGATTGCAATCTGCATTATCATAAAACTAGCTGTCGTCCACGTCTCTGTCCGCCAAGAATTACGGAAATTTAAGCCAATCATCATCATCATTGTCAGCCATAGGTCGTCTACTGCTGAACCTGGCGTCCCCCATTGATTGCCACAATGCCCGTTCCTGTGCCGCCCGCATCCAGTGCACTCCCGCAACCTTGACCAGGTCATCGGTCCATCTTGCGGGAGCCTACCTACGCTGCGACGACCTATCCGTGGCTCCAGGACTCTTCGGCCCCATCGGCCGTCCATTCTGCGGGCAATATGGTCGGCCCATCGCCACTTGAGGTTTGCAATTCTTCGGGCAATGTCGGTTACTTTGGTTCTGCGGATCGCATCGTACCTGACGCGATCTCGCAGAGAGACTCCGAGCGTTGCCCTTTAAGTGACTTTGAGCCGCCTGATTTTACCCAAATCCGTTCTAAAAAACTAACAAACGTTCTTCCATCTAAACTGTTGCATTTATACTCGTAGTTTAAACATTCTTTGTTTTATTGACGTACTTTATAACAAAAAATTAATATACATTGAAATCGCTGCAGCAATAAACACCAAAAATATAACAAATGTTAGCTTTGTTGTTGCCTAGTTAAGGTAATTTATGTGATTTAACATTGTAGGAAAAATATCGAGATGCAATATGTACATAATTATTACTTACATATCTGCGAAAATATTTTTTTTATAATATAAGGTGGCACACAAGCAGGCGGCCACCTGAATACAACGAAATGGAAAGTGATCGCTGGCCATAGACATCGTTAGTCTAGTCCACCCTATTAGGGTAGGCTCTGAGCCCCTCAGTGATTGTGAGCTGGTCATGATATGTCATAATAAAGACAGACAAGACTACAAAACCGGACATAATCCATAATTGTCAAAAAGTGGTGATCCTTGTTGACCTACGAGATAAACAACTGTCATAGTGTTGTTCGGGTTTTTGAATATTTTTAATTAATATTCACTTGTTTACGTTGCGATATTTCTAAGAACTAATTCCCCGAAAAACTTGTTTGTAATATTTTTTGGTAGTTTGTTAACAAACATGTTGTAGTCGGTTTCCACTTGCGAAACACTCACAAAGACAATGTCAAAGTAAAGCAATTATAATGGTTTGTACAAAAAGCGTCAACGCGCTGTTTAATTTTGAAGAGATGCATGTGGCGCCATCTATCACAATAAAAATAACGGATCCTACGACCTTTTGGTTCGTAATCCATACCCAACCGTTGAACTATTAGGTGCTAACATAACTTTTAAAATGATACCTTACATTTTCTAATTAAATCTTTTTAATGTAACATGTCCGTGTGGTAAAAGGATAGGCAGGAATTACAAATTTTAAACGCGTCAAAAACATCCTATGCATAATTCACATTAGGGTAATTAATTTATTTAAAACGAAGTTAAATTATTAAAATAAATATTTAGTAACTTGCCCTTCTATATATTTATAATCTGTTAACCTACATTAAGTTCCAAATTACCACTTTATACAATTTCCATCAATCAATGTGTCAAAATTTATGTCCACATAACTACTGTCAGGGCCTTCTCTGATTATCATATTAATTTATAAGTCATTTCAAAACCGAACGTAATATTTAGAAATACCATGAGAACCTACATAACATATGTATACTGTTATAATTAAATTACTATAAATTAAAAAAAAAGTGAAATTATAAAGGATTTTTTTTTATTTATTATTTATTTTGTAAAAAAAAATAGAGTAACCAAACTGCAGTCTTAAAACCTTTCTAATGTAAATTTTAATTTTGCAGTTAATTTAAAATATATTAACTAAAATTATTAGTATGTTTGTATTTTTTAATGCGTTAAAATTAGGCAAAGTAAATATGTAATACATTCCTAATACGTGAGTTAGCAAACGTCGTGTTATTCAAATGTATTGCGACAACCTTATAAGCAATGTCCGATAACTCAGACGTAGAGCACACAGCCTCCGTACCTCAAAAGATCACTTTCCAGTGGCCCACTGACCCACATCTCCCACCAGCACGCTGAGTGAAAGCATATATTAGCGAAAATTAATAATGACATAACATACATAACCTACCTCAATTGAAGTTTCGAAATTCACGAGAACGAAAATTAAAAAAACTACAAAAAAAACTATCACAAAACCATAAACAATCACATTTCACAAATCACTGAAATGTACAGAAAAAAACAACTGTCACTGTCAAAAAAGCGCGCTCCCGCGAAAGTGAACTGAAGCGGTGGAGTTGCGTTTACTTTTTTTCACCGCGTGCGCAGCTCGTCAACGCGTTCAGCCAAATCGGGCCTCGATGCCCGACTGCTGTATTGCACCCACTCACTGCTTCGAAGGCAGTCGAAGACGTCACTTTTCTATACAGACGTCTGCGGCGTTAAAAATTGCATCATGACATCTACATTACCTTTGTACTATCGGAATTAGAAAAATAACAAACATTTTCTGCCGACGAGTTTCCACACTTTTCTTCCATTTCATTTTACTTAACTGATACCTTTTACTCTACATAATTTGCAAAAGACTTGCCGATAATTTTGAGACTAAGGGAACGTGAAGGAAAAGTGGATTTAACGATGGAGGAGATGCATTAGAAAGGGAAATATCCTCTTTATGTGCGTCTCCATCGTCAATTATGGGTAGACAACGGATCTGCAATTGCGGATGTTTATAGGCAGCGCTCACTTTCCATTTCGGTGGATTCAGGTGGCCGCTTGCTCGTTTGCCACCTTATAATATAAAAAAAATCTATGACAATTAAATTGTAAATACAAACCATAAGTTAACAGGTTAACGGCATTAAGCTTTTTAACCCCATTTTAACTTGACATGCAATTTCTATAGGTTTACACTGCAATAAACGACCAGCTAAACGGTACAAAGCAGACGAGACTAAATAGGTTATCTATTACTTAGGATTTATAAACCCACAAAACCCGACAGACTTATTACACTTCGGAAAAGAATGTCTATCAAGTAACACCTGACTTTTAAGCATATATTTATAAATACAGTCAACGCATAAACCCATGACAGGCGGTCTTCTTTCCTTAAGAGCGGGCACCTTTGACTAAACTATTGCAAAACTGTGTAGTCGTGCTTTGATTTCTATGAGCTTATATGGAGGTGCGCGCACTACTCGTTAGTTGTACAACTAAACAGTTGAATTGGCTGCGACACAATCGACAATCGCACAACAGTTGCGCGATACCCTAGTGTGTGCGACTGCTCTAAAAGAGGGTAACGCTATTCTCACATATTTTCCTGTCTCATTTAATTTGACGAGCTGTTGCCCGCGACTTCGTCTGCGTGGAGTTTAAAAGTTCAAAACGGGTTCTTTCTTACTACGTATTTACTTACTAGTATACGTAGTAACAAATATATCTATGCAAGATAATATTTCAGTACGCAAAATAAGACGTAGGAAATAACCTCGAGTTATTATTATTTCAAAGAATACGGGACTTATTTAAATGAAACTCTGAGATATATGAAAAAAAAAACTAGAGTAAGACTTTGTATGGAAAAATTGGTACACCCAAGACGCAGTATTTAACAATAAAATTTGTTAACATGTCGCTACTATAATTCTATATAAACTCATTCATAATAAATGCCCAAAAATATTGTTAAACTTGTATTCAATATTTGTGGGTTTTTAACCTTTTTGAAGCAATCAAAAGAAAAAATTATCAAAAAACAATAAATTTAGTAGTAGTAATTTTGTGGTACAAAGTGGCAAAGAAGCATGTGGCCACTAGATGCCGCTGAAACAGGAAAGAAACCATTGCCCATAGACATCTGCAAAAAGAACGTATTCAGCCAGAAACCATAGATAATATATCTGTCTCCTACTCTATATGTGTTTACGCTTTATTATATTAGTATAGATAGAAAGATTTAATAAGATTGAATTCAATAAATATCGCCGCGCCTTTAAAAAAGCGAAAAATAAACAAAAAAATATATATAACCTTACTTTTTTACGCTATACAACACCCCGAATATTAATATTTGGTCCTCATTAATATAATTATCATAAAACTGGTTGGTGCAGTCCATCTTTATTATCTAAATCTGATTAAGCTACACAAAAGAATAAAACAAAAATTATGTTCGAAAAAAAAAGATTTTTCTCAAAGGTCCAAGTAACAAGGGCATGTCAATGACGTTACCAATTAACTTCCTTAATAATGGTCAAAATCCCATATTTTCTTCCCTTACTTTAGACCCAAAAAGCAGCTAAGCGAATTTGGTTCTTACTTAGTTACTGTCAAAAATATTTACATACCCCCTAAGTTTAAGGCGTGAAAATATATAGCCTTAAGCGTGACGTAAGTGTAGAGCTTTTTATTAAAAAAAGAATAAAAAAAAATATGCTGTAATTGCTGACATCTTAGGCAACAAAGAAGTGTGTGTTTACTTTATTATAATAGTACTAACTGTTCCCGTGCGGTTTCATCCGCATGAAATTATGAATATTTTAATTTATTGTTTACATTTGTTAATTTATCAATAGCAAATGTCAAAATGACATGACATGACAAACCTTGACAGTCTTGCTTCCTTGATGTTGGCAACAAGTTATGGTCTCTTTCTCGCATTAGGGTTTTTATCCAAAATATTTACCCCCTAAGTTTAATGGCGTGAAAATATATAGCCTAAAGCGTTACGTAAATGTAGGGATTTCATTTAAAAAAAGATTTATTCAAAAATATGCTGTAATTGCTGACATCTTAGGCAACAAAGAAGTGTGTGTTTACGCTTTATTGTAATAGTATACATAGATAGTATAGATTAAAAAAAGTTACTATTTCAGAAGAAATAGATATTTCCAAAGATTGTACATTTTTAATGGCATTTTTTCAATTCAGTCAAGTTACAAAGTATCTGAATAGTTGTTTATTGAGATTTGGATTTGCTAAAGCAATATTAACCAATTAAGTATTGACTCAGGGTTATCTCTCGTTCCCAATTCTTAGTAAATAATAATTTTGTCAGGTCATCATCACGACAAAACGGTGCAAGGACGTCTAATTAATATCCACAAAACTCTAACAAATATAACGTCGCAATTCATTTTAAAATACTATATCGTAAGCGAAAAAACAATAATAAAATAACTTTTAACGGTACTTTATTGTTGAGTTTTTGATAAAACTAAATTATTCTTCAATAAAAAACTGAAGATTTAAAACGTATTTTGATAAGGAATACCGAATTCAAAACAAATCATTTTAAAATGAATAAACGCTTTATTATTTCCTTCTTAAGAATATTTTATGAGACCCTGCTGGAGCCAATCCCTTTACCCATTTGTAAAAAGCAATACATTATAACATAACACAATTTCGTGAAAAATACAACAGACAATTTCTTGTCTCTTCTGTACGTATAGTTATTATATGTTTACTAGCTTTAGGCCGCGACTCCGTTCACGTGGATTAAGAAACAAAAGTAAGTAGCCTATGTGTTCTTCCAGATTATCCTTTACATCTATGCCAAATTTCATCGAGATCCGTTCAGCAGTTTAGGCTACAGACTCTAACAAACATCCATCTAAACTTTCGCATTTATATTATTAGTAAGATTGTACAATTGTCGTTATTTTCTACATATGTAGAGCGATAATTCTCAATTTTCTTACCGCGCAATATACTCAAATATGTCCCGTGTCACTTTCTTTATCGACCTTTTCATTAGTACGCTTGTGTCTAACGATTGAGTTATCGATTAATTATATTGTGGCCTTAAAATTAATCGATACAATGCAAAAGGTTAGTTAGGATAAGATACGAAATGAGTATATTAGCTACTCTCAAGCTTCCTGCTTGAGAGTAGCCCCCGTAGTAGAGAAGGCAAGGAGTAAAAGGTTAGCATGGTATGGTCATGTTATGAGAAGGGAAGAATCGCATGTAACAAGAAGGATGGTAGTTATGAATGTGGAGGTACATCGGTAGAGGTAGACCTAGAAAGAGATGGATGGATTGCGTGAAAGGTGACATGATCAAGAAGGGAGTGATGACTGAGATGACGCATGATAGAATTCCCTTGGAGGACGAAAACCCGGTGCGCCGACCCTACGGGAGTAGGATAAGGCAGGGGAGATGATGAATGTAAAAGGTTAGTATGGTATGGACATATGCTACGAGACGATGGGGACATAAACCAGAAAGCGTTAAGATTAAATGTGGATGGCTACAAAGGTAGAGGGACCGAAGAAAGGATGGATTGTGTGAAAGAGGATATGCTTAAGAAAGGAGAGGATTCAGATATGGCTGATAGAGATGTATGGAAGAGCAGCACATACTGTGCCGAGCCTCCGTAAGGAATAAGGGCAAGTGAATGATGACTGCCAACCTTATGACAATCAATATGATTTTTTTTTCATTCGTACACCGCAGATATTTTTTCGTTACCATAGCAACGCATATTGATTTTAACCTAATTAATTCGTGAGAATATAAAAATACAAATAATACTGAAGTGTCAATAAATTGAAAATAGACGACTCAAAATTAATTATCCATTAGAAGCTAGTTCTAGGAATAATTAATTATGGCTGCACATTATTACATTTGTCATATGTTTACCTACATATATTCTCGTCTCTTTTACTCTTATTTAAATGTTGGAGAAGGCAATATGTTCTTGTATAAACGTTTTGACAGTGGAAACTAAAGATTATTTTATCATCTGTGACCTGGGATGCAAGATTTTAAAGAGCAGTTGCATTTTATAAAAAAGCGTCGATGACGCAGTGGCTTAGCACGGAACCTGTAATCTACAAGTCTGAGTTTGAAGCCCACTGTGTACTGTGTTATTCTTTTTTCGTACTTGATAACATTTATTATTTTAGAGTGAAGGAAAACATTATGAGGTCTATCTGCGAAGAAATTCAAAGAAATGTGTGAATTTAACCCGCATTAGGCCAGCGTGGTTTACTATAAGGTGTAGTTTCTTAACTACTTTTCACGCGACACCGTTCGCACGTATTTAAAAAAAAAACTTAGTGACAAGCCTATGTGTTGTTCCAGAATATGTTCTACATCGATGCTACATTTCATCAAGATCCAATCAGTTTTCGCTACAAACTAACAAACATCAATCCATCCATCCATTCATTAAACTTTCGCATTTATAAAATTAGTTAGAAGTAGGATATAGAGTAAATTTCAGTAGTAGAGCCGGCTTTAACATCTTCGCACTGTAGGGTCGGCTCGCCCTGTGTATACCACGACCACACAGAAGACAGACGTCAAGTGGGAGCAATACCGTGTTTCGTCTGATAAATGTA